CTCGTCTGGTTTGACTGGTCAACCGACCAGTTGACATGCTGACATCACTCTGATGTCATGCTGGCGTCATCATTTACTATTCTGGATAATGTTGGATTTAAATAATTAATTAAATTCCTGAAAATGAGTTAAATCTTTAGAAAATCATATCTTTTAATCCGTAACTCGGATGAAAATACTTTCTACATGAAAGTTGCTCGGAACGACGAGACGAACCCGGATACGCAACCCGTTCGTCCACCACACACCTCTAACATATCAAACACGCAACTTTCCCCCTCCGGTTCATCTATCCGAAAACGCGAAACACCGGGAATACTTTCCCGGATGTTTTCCCCCTTCGTCGGTATCACCTACTACCGCGATTGGGCACACCTAGCATCGTTACTTGTCATGTCATGCATCGATATGCATTTGTTTGCATTGTATTCATTGTTTCTTCCCCCTCTTCTCTCCGGTAGACCACGAGACCGACGCTGCTGCTTCCCAGTTCGACTACGGAGTTGACGACCCCTCCTTCTTGCCAGAGAAACCAGGCAAGCCCCCCCTTGATCACCAGATATCGCCTATTCTCCTCTATATTGCTTGCATTAGAGTAGTGTAGCATGTTACTGCTTTCCGTTAATCCTATTCTGATGCATAGCCTGACATTGTTGCTACATTTGTTGATACCTTACCTGCAATCCTAAATACTTAGTATAGGATGCTAGTTTATCATCATTGGCCCTACATTCTTGTTAGTCTGCCTTGCTATACTATTGGGCTGTGATCACTCGGGAGGTGATCACGGGTATATACTATACATATATACATACTATACAGATGGTGACTAAAGACAGGTCAGCTCGATGAGTACCCGCAAGTGATTCTGATGAGGGGGCTGAAAGGACAGGTGGCTCCATCCCGGTAGTGGTGGGCCTAGGTTCCCGACGGCCCCCGACTGTTACTTTGTGGCGGAGCGACAGGGCAGGTTGAGACCACCTAGGAGAGAGGTGGGCCTGGCCCTGGTCGGCGTTCGCGGATACTTAACACGCTTAACGAGATCTTGGTATTTGATCTGAGTCTGGCCATTTGGTCTATACGCACTAACCATCTACGTGGGAGTAGTTATGGGTATCCCGACGTCGTGGTATCAGCCGAAGCACTTCAGACGTCAGCGACGGAGCGGCGCGCGCCGGATTGGACTGGAACGCCTGCTAGGCTAGGTCTGCTTCCGGCCTCCCTCGTAACGTGCAGGTGTGCTATGGGCGATAGGCCCAGACCCCTGTGCGCTTAGGTTTAGACCGGCGTGCTGGCCTCACTGTTGTGCCTAGGTGGGGCTGCGACGTGTTGATCTTCCGCGGCCGGGCATGACCCAGGAAAGTGTGTCCGGCCAAATGGGATCAAGCGTGTTGGGTTATGTGGTGCACCCCTGCAGGGAAGTTAACCTATTCGAATAGCCGTGATCTTCGGTAACAGGACGACTTGGAGTTGTACCTTGACCTTATGACAACTAGAACCGGGTACCTAATAAAACACACCCTTCCAAGTTCCACAGACATCCCGGTGATCGCTTTTCCACAGGGCGACGAGGGGAGGATCGCCGGGTAGGATTATGCTATGCGATGCTACTGGAGATGCTACTTGGAGATGCTACTTGGAGGACTTCAATCTACTCTGTTTTACATGCTGCAAGACGGAGGCTGCCAGAAGCGTAGTCTTCAATAGGAATAGCTATCCCCCTCTTATTCTGGCATTCTGCAGTTCAGTCCACTGATATGGCCTCCTTACACATGTACCCATGCATATGTAGTGTAGCTCCTTGCTTGCGAGTACTTTGGATGAGTACTCACGGTTGCTTTGCTCCCTCTTTCCCTCGTTTTCCTCTTCTTCTCGGATGCTGCAACCAGACGTTGGAGCCCAGGATCCAGACGCCACCTTCGACGACGACTCCTACTACACTGGAGGTGCCTACTACTACGTGCAGCCCGCTGATGACGACCAGGAGTAGTTAGGAGGATCCCAGGCAGGAGGCCTGCGCCTCTTTCGATCTGTATCCCAGTTTGTGTTAGCCATCTATGGCTACTTGTTTGTTTATGTCTGTACTCAGATATTGTTGCTTCCGCTAACTCGTCTATGATCGAGCACTTGTATTCGAGCCCTCGAGGCCCCTGGCTTGTATTATGATGCTTGTATGACTTATTTATGTTTTAGAGTTGTGTTGTGATATCTTCCCGTGAGTCCCTGATCTTGATCGTACACATTTGCGTGCATGATTAGTGTATGATTGAATCGGGGGCGTCACAATCTTGTACTTGTTTAGGCTTCCAAACTTGTTTTGTAGGCACCACGGGCCGAGTGTTATTGAACAACTTATCCCTTTGCTTCTCGGCCTCTTGTTCTGTCATCTCTTGACTCCTTAACCTTTGTAGTTTCCTCTTTTGTGTCTTTATTAGCCCTGAGGACACCACTTTGGCTGAGTGTATTTAGGATCTCTCGTCTTTACTTGGCTGGTGCTTGCTTCATGGACATTAGCCGAGTGCTTTGGCGCGATAGCAAGTATCGGCTCAATCGGATTGCTATGCATAATCGGCTGCTGTATGGTGAATGTTTTGGTGCCCAAGATGAGTGAGTCCGCATTGATTTTTCCCTTGCCTTTGCTTGACTCGACCGCTACAACACTTGGCGACTTAACACGCCATTCTTGCTTGTCGACCCTTTTTTGATTATCTTGCACTGGCCGATTGACACCATTGTTCAAACGGCCTCGTGTGGGATAAGATAGTCTCTCATGAACGGGCCTCCTTGGTTCTGCCCAACCTGGATGAAAAGCATAAGGGGCCATTGGGGGCTGCCACCATCCTCCATTGAAGTCTCCCACGTAGTATGGCACATAGGGGGGTGGCGGCATCCGTGGTCCCGGCGCCCACGACCCATATGGCCTTGCATGATGCTGAAATTCTTCCTGAGGAGGTGACCTTGAGCACTTCAAATTTGATGACCGGTTAGAGCTAGAACCGGCTGCATGATTGGCATACTTGGACAACAGCATATCAAAAGTTGGTTTGATTTTCTTGCGCTTCACTTTAGCTTCATTCGTCTTCCACTTGTCAACTTCTGGATCCTTGGGCTTGACAAATTTAACACGATTATTTTCTTGCACTTGCGGTTGCCCCTCGAGTGTAGGATTCTTGATGGTGATTTTCATTATCTCCTTGCCACCGGGTTGCTTGTCAAGCACAACCTGTCTCCCCAAGACCTTGTCACCCTCCTTGTCTCTCCTGGGCTCACCAAGAATGACACTAGCTTTATTAGCAAATTCGCCAACCTCCGGCCGAATGAGTAGTTTCTTCCCCTCCAACTCCATGGTATTCGTTGGAAAGGGTTGTTTATCAACTTGCATCTCAGAAAAGTTCAATCGTCCATCATTAATGGCCGATTGTATCTGCCGTCGAAAAACATTGCAATCATTAGTAGCATGAGAAAAAGAATTATGATACTTGCAATAAGCACGCCGTTTCAGCTCTTCAAACGGCGGTAAAGTATGAGATATTCTAATAATCTTAGCCTGCAGCAAAGCATCAAATATTCTATCACACTTAGCAATGTTAAAAGTAAACTTCATCTCTTCATCATGATTCTTATGAATCGGTTTCAGGTCATTGCAAGTAAAGGGTTTGGCCTTAGACGACCAAACAAATTCAGTAGCAAAAACATCACCCTAATCGTCCGAGTGATCACTATCATATTCCACCATATTCATCTTTGGACGATCGGCTTTGTATCTATGCACTTCTTTGAGGTCTTTGCTTCGGCTTTCCTGAGCCAAAACCCTTTGTAAGACTTGGTTGATATTTAAGAACTCATACCCTTCTATCTTTTCTCTAACTAGTAAGTATGCACGTGCAACACACGTCTCCGCAATTCAATCCATTTTTTGAATTTCACAATTATTTATTTAGTTTCCTTTTCTATTGGTTTTGTTCATCTACACCTTTCTAAATCCAAAAACTATAGAAAATTAAAAAAATTGATATGTGATATTCCCAAAAGGAAAAAAATGGAGATGTGACATACGTAATGAATGGGGGTTATCTAGGATTATAAGTACACCATTTTGTTAACTATCCCCGAGACACTAACATAATTATTTAAAGTGCATTGTTTGACCATACACAAAAGAGTGAAGAGCTTATTTGAAATGTGTGCAAAAAGGGATCTTTAGATATATTGTATCAAACAAAGAGCGAGTCTGCCAAAACAAAATTCAGAAAGTAAGACTTGATAATAGCATCCATTAGCTGCCATACATATATCATCACTTCTAATAATTAACCTCCAGAAACTCTTTCCGTCGAGAGAACTATACAAAAAGACATGAAAAGGAATTGTATGTTTAGACCAAATAATTACTAATCTTGGACCACAGTTTCAGACCAAATAACCAAATAACTGACACACAGATGGTGATCAACTACAGTATTCCCAACAATGTGAACATATTTTCGATGCAAAACAACTACATACACATAATTTGGTGTCCAAGATTTGGCATTTTATCAATTCGTCCAAGCTTTCCATGTGGCTCCGCATCTTGTTCTTATTCTCTCGTTGCAACAGCATGTTATTGCTGCAATTTTTACACTTCAAAGTACCACAAATACAACCCTTTAACGGTGGCGCAAAGGGCGCCTCCTCGCGACGTCCACGTGGGCAGAAGGGGTTGGCGAGTTTCGTCGATGAAAAAAGAAACTAAGCGAGAGGCCACTTTCCTTGTTCCTTCGTGCCCCTCGAGCCCCACGCACCTTCTCTCTCGAGCACGCAACCTCTTCTTCCCTCTCCAAAGATCTCTCTCCTTTGACTGGATCGGCTCGCTCGCTCGACCGCCGGGACCATGTCGCTGCCGACGCCGACGGCCGCCAGCGAGGACAGGTTGGATCTGGACGGCGTGCTCGTAGCGCCTCTCACCATCTGCAGAGCGGGGCGGTGGATTCATCTGCTCCCACCTCTTCGAGCACCTCATGGCTGAGACCCCGGACTCCGTCCTCGCCGTCGACATCTACTGCTGCCAGATCCGCCGCCTCGTCGACCGACCCCCGCCCCACCTCGCCCGCTACAGCAACTTCCACCTCCTCAACGTCAAGAACAACTCCGGCCTGGAGGGCCTCATCAAGATGGTCGATCTGGTGCGCCCCTCCCCACCTCCCCTCCTTCCCCGCTCGCTTTTGTCCTCTAATGGTGGATTGGTCTGCGAAAAAGGAATGCTAGGGTTGATTTTTCCGTCTTTGTTTCTGTAAAAAAGAGGAAGTGGGATCGACGCTCTTATCCTCTAATGGTGGATTGGTCTGTGAAAAAGGAATGCTAGGCCCGATTTTTCCGTCTTTTTTTCTGTAAAAGAGAGGAAGTGGGATCAACCTGCAGAGGATTTGGTCGCCGTGGCTGCGGCGGCGAGACTGCCCATCTTTCAATTCTGTGGCACTACTGCATATCCTGCCGCGGCCGCTCGTTCCACCGGTGCTTCAGAGTGCTGCTGCTGCTGCTGCAATTCAGAAACTAAGTCAGGTCTGTGCTCCATGATACAGTCCCTACCCCCCATATGAGCAAGCTAGCCTATGTATTATTGGGACTAAGTATTCATATTTACTATCTCTGTGTTGTTGCCTCAGGCAAAACTAGTGGCTGAGCTTATAGCACTAGAAATTTAAACATATAAGGCTGCTAGCCAACTTGCCTCCACGGTGCTCCCCCAATTGGGCCTTTGTTGGCCGTTGGATCTGGTCATTTAGAGCGTTTGAGCCGTTGGATGTTTACCTGCTGTCAAACCCAATTTCACCTCGTGGTCATTTTTGCCGTCCAATGACTGGTGGGCTCGCGCTATGCGTTTATTGGCTGGGTCGATCGTTCTCGCGTGGAAGAGGCTTTTGCCCAATCCCCGCGCGTGCTCCGCTTCCAATCCTCCTCGCGGGGTTGCTGCGCCAGAGCCCACACCCGCCCCAACCCTAGCCGCCACACCTCTCCTTCCTCCCTCGCTTGACACCATAGGCGTTGCACCCCCTCCCCTCCTTCCTGCTCGGGCGGATAGCCGCCGGCCGCCGCATCCCTTCTCCCCCTTCCTCCTCCTTCCTCCTTCCCGCTGGCGCCCATCGCCCTCGTCCTCGGACAAGGGGCCTTCCACAGGGATGGCCACGTCTTCAAACCAGGGGTAGAGGAGCACGGGAGGGCCAAGAAGCCGGCATTGGGGGTGGAGCAGCCAGGCCAAGGAGGACCCAGGTGGTGGACGCATCATGGGGTTAAGGACAGGCCGATGATATGAATAAGTAGGAGGAGTGCCATGGATCTGCAGGGAAAGGAGGGCGACGCCCTCGGCGGGCGTCCGAGCAGGAAGCCGGCAGGGAGCACGTCATCGTAGGCGTCAAGGGAGCGATGGACAAGCCGCCAGGAGGAGAAAGCTCCCAGTTTGTGGAGGAGACTATGTGACAGGTGTGTTTCTTCGTGTTTTTCTAACCCCTTTTCTCATCTTTCCATGACGACCTGCAAAATTTTCAAGTTTTTCAGGTGGTGTTTTGGAATCTAGATTGATTTGGTATTGTATGTTGTGTGATGTGCCCTTGCCAAGAATATTTGATGTGTGTGATGACACGAGCAATTGTAGAGGTAAAGATTACTCTCTCTGGTTCAAAGAGCATTTAGATTTCAAAAATTGATTGCTTATATCATTGTCCAAAGGAGTGAACACCATGCTCGATTAGTGGACTGCCGCTTGAGAAGAAGCTTGTCATTTGTCTCTTCGAGCCGCGGCGGATAGGGGCCTTCGAAGAACTTGGGGTTTGACATAGCCATCGAGGAAGTGCAGGGTAATACTCTTATATGAAGCATGATAATTCCACATGTGGTGATGTTGGCATATGTTTTGGTATGATAAACTTCAAAAAAATACTGAAACGTGGAGCTACAACCTGTGGATAATCTATAAGCCAACCAAGGTGGCACTGTTTCAGTTGATGTGATGATAAATCCATTTTAAGTGCAGCTCACTAGAAAGTGATTGATCTTACATGTATTTTTTCCTCTTACTGGACGCAAGAAGCAGCAGTGTTAGTAGAGAAGAGGTGGTGTTAGTCGGGATATTTGTGAGCTATGAGAAGCCTCTCTTATACTACTAAGTTTTTTAACTCCAAGCAACCAAATGTTCAAAGTATGTTTCCTTTTTATTTGAAAACTACTTATTAGATTGGGATCTGGGAGACGATCATGTTAAAGATCATCTCAATTCTCCATAGTTAGAAATCAATATTTAAGAACATGCATGCAGTATTTTTTTCGAAGCATTATATTGTAAATCTTCACCAAGCTGCCATTTGTTTTTTGCAGATACAAACCAAGTGTAATCAAAGAGGATATGGATTCAGTACGGACATGAGTGAAGGAATGTTACTCCAATTTGGTACTTTATTTTATTGTTTTCATTTAGTCTGCATTAGCTTAACAAATAACATTTGTGGGACAACTAATATTTGAACATGGATTTTTTCAGGATCTTGGAGAATGTTTTCTCAGTGTGGTTCAGGTTAAATTGTTGTCCTACTGTTCCTGCTCAACCTCCTAATGTTCTATGTCTTCGCCGTGCCTTCTTCCAGCTTCTCTATTGGTTTTCTCTTCACACCGATGTAAGTGCATGACCTTTTCACACCGATGTAAGTGCATGTTTCATGCGTATAACTAGAGCCATATTAAAAATGCAAGTGGTGCGAAAAGGTCACATCCATGTATAAATTAATAGCTAGGTTGTGTTTAAGAATACAACGTCTTATCAGCATATAGAAAAGATATAGCAATGTTATATTAAGTTATATTGCATTTGTGTTATCTCCTTCCAATAATGAGATGGTGTAGGTGTCATTTCTTTATATTTTAATTAAATAGTGTTATCGATGATATGTAGTATTTGAAGTTCAAACAGACATATGTGTTATATTTATTTATTACATGTTTCGTTAAATTTGTCGCCATATGTGCTTGCCCGAAACTAAATCAACTAAACCATGGATTTCCTTTCATCGCTAACATGAAATCAGCAGGTCTCTGCGCCATTTGGCGCAACGGGTCCACTAGTTGTTATAAATGATGCTGATCAATCTGTACGGCATAAGCTCACAAAACGGCAAACACAAAACGAGGTAAATCAGTTGCAACCAAATAATCGTGATGTACTTGTTCTGTTGAAAGTCTGCTGGTACATTGGTTATATTCGCTTTCTGTAGCCAGCATATGAAAAAATGTACTAAAAACATTTGAGGCGGTCGATCCCAACAGCGGAAGAGCAACTATGCTCGAGGTAATCAACCTTACCAAATACTAAGCTGTTCTGAATGCAAGGCATCTTTGATAAATTGAGGATAATGCCAATACCCTATCTTTGTTGTAGATAGCAGGGAGGCTGTCCAAGCTAGAAAATAAAGGATGGAGGCCAAGGCGAACAATCATCTCTGCAGTTGGGATGCAGAAGAGTTTGCGCTGGTATGTTCTTGCTCGCATGCTCTCAGATGCTTTCTCATCCGCAAGTGTAAGCTCTAAAGCGTTGAAAAATCCAATGCCTCGGATAGGGTCTACGGAATGGACCGAGGAGGACATGGATATGCTTGCTTCAAGAGGTGTTGCTTATCTGAATGTAGACATGTCAATGTTTGGGCCTGGAAGTCTTATGCCCCCTGCAACACCACAACTCGATGAATTAATCAATGAAGCAAGCAGAATGGTATTTTAGTTCTGCACCTAAAGCCTTTATAAGCATAGAATTTAAACTTCATGAGCAGCATTGAGTACATATTAGAGACTTGTCTACATAGATTCCAAATTTATTTAATTATTTGATCCTTTCTTTTTTTCCTTCATTGAAGGTAGCCGATCCTGATGATCCGTATCATACCTTGTATGACTACATGGCACAAATGAGCGATCATGAGAGCTTCATTTGATTGAAACATACTGAAGTATTAAGCTCCTATTTTCATACTGCAAGAGTGGCCGGTGCAGGAACAGATTTTGCAGCTTTTGTCGAGCACATTGGAGTCCCTTCACTTGACATCTCTTATGGATTATGTAAGTGAAAACGCTGTTGGTGGTGTATAAGCCTGAAAATCTGTGCTCCCTTTCTATAGCATTGTTCTGATTCATTTAAAAAAAAAACAGAACAGTAGACTAGCAAACCATATATTTACAGGTCGTTTTATTATTATTCCTCTAGCATCTGCCGTAAATATTGTTGCTCTTGCAGTTTCAGAATACCCTGTCTACCACTCACTGTACGATGATTTTGATTGGATGGAGCAGTTTGGAGACCCTTTGTTCCACAGACATGTAGTATGTACTGAGCGAGCTATCTTTTCAAATTCAGAAAGTTCACTATAGCGCTGACTAACCCATTTTACTGAGACTTGCAGATGATGAGATCATTCCCTTCAATTATGTCCTCTACGTGTCTGAACTGGAGGTATTTTCTCTTCTGGCAACTGAGATAGACACACAGGGTAATCCCCTAATTCAGTTTCATCAAGGAAACTGAAACAGAATCATGAATTCATGATAGACTCGCTTCTTATTGATCGGTACACACAATTTTTTTCATGAAATTATCATTAAGTGTGGCATGTAGAAGTAGCTCCAACAATTACTTGAAACATGGACTATCTGCTGTCCTCATGACAACAGATGTTGCAAGCACAAAAGAAGGGCCATAACACGAGGGTAAGCATGCTGAAAGTCAAAGAGATCAATGACCGATGGACGATGGCGGAGCGAGCCTTCACCAACCAAGAGTGGCTCGGAGGGAGACCGTGGTCCAAACATATGATGAGCATCAAAGCTGCAGGCTTGTTACATAGTACTGTAGTTGTCTGAACTCCGAAGTTATTCTGAAACTAACCACAGTAATGGTTTTTCTCCTTCGGCAGATTTATGCCTCGTCGGACCAGGACGACTGGTGGGTACCAAAGCCTTCCCCGGCATCGTCTCGGCCATCGTGAACGCGCAGGAGCTCAACACGTCGGAATCTTGGCGGCTGTTGCGGCATGAGATTTACATGGGTGCAAGGACCTTATCTGTTATGAAATGGCATATTGTTATTCGTATGTGTATTATTGACTTGCCAAATTCTTGACCGCCTATGGTATGATCAGATCAATATAAAGAGTGTGGCTTCTATTCTTTTAACATACTCACATGAAACTATTGTCCAGTGTTTATTTTGGTTAGTATCTACCTGATGGTTAGATGTCAATTTGATTAAAGCAGGGACAATAAAGTCAGTAGACAGCCTATAAGCGCAGAGGAGCATCTCAAGAGGCGCGCCACGGGCGCGCCCCTGCCCCTAGTACACATCATACTCGGATTTGTACAACAATAGGATGAAACTATTCCTATGTAATATATATTTTTGTCAAGAGACTTGAAATGTCGTAGATTTAATGCTTGTACAAGTCAGTTAAAAATGGTTTAACAAGTGTACAGACTACAGACTGAACTTATTTTGACTGCCTAGATTAACCAGAAATTGGGGGATTTTACACCAACTGACCGTAGTATCAAATACTACATACCAACTCATGTAGTAATATACAACAAAAATAGTAGAAGAAAACAATACAATGACAGAATGACTGTAGGTAGCAGACGTACATAGAAAGGCATGGCCAAAAAAATCGATTATTTTCATCACATAGTAATCATGCACGTGCAACACATGTGTAACCATAGAAAGAAATATACTAATTCAATCCTTTAGTAGGTAATTATTAAATAAAATCAACGAAATAATATATAGCAGAATCCACGTCAAGTGGAATATTAACAACAAGTCATATTGTCTTAAAAAACATGATGTGAAAACACACATAAGCAAAAATCATGTACGCTGTTAAAACCGGTAACCTATCTAATGATGGCGTCCTAGCCGGTCTCTCTCTCTCTATATATCTCTCTCCCTCCCTCTCTACCTCCCTCCCAAAAAAGTTGTGGCCGGGGAATAAGAAAGTAGAGATAGAGGACAAGTAAATTCAAAAAATTCTTGGATGTGCAGGTCTGCCCAAAAATGACACCTATCCGCGTGGAGATTTCAGTATGAATCACGATCCTGAATCGAACGGAAAGATTATTATGGTAAGACAAATACACCCTTTTTAACAATAATAGAAATACACCAATGTAAGCTACACACTTTTCGAAATAGAAGAAGTTCTCTGATCCGGTCCAAGCCTGATCCTACAGCGCCCTGCAAAATGTCTAGTGGTGGTTGAGAACGTCCTGGACAGACGCAACATGCCGACAGAACGACACTTGCCTTATCTTGAACAGCATCAGCCGATGCAAATGGATCGACCTAAGCATCTCATTGCTGAGAGATGATGTGCAAAGTACTCCTCCGTAAACTAATATATGAGCGTTTAGAATACTAAAATAGTGATCTAAACGCTCTTATATTAGTTTACAGAGGGAGTATACTGGAAGACCAGATTTTTCTTCGGACAGGGACAGGAACACATGCCTTTTCCAAACAGGAAAGTTGTGCACTGAATCACATTCATGCTTCTGAAAATTCAGCGACAAGTTGGTAGGGATTATCAGAAGCAAGGTATGAAGCATGGGAGCATGAAAACAAAAACACAGAGCGCCAGAGATAGAGAGGTCAATCAGAGGAACTCGTCCAACATGTGATGTGCATCCACGCACCACCCTTCCCTAGGGCATTCACTCACCGCGCTACAACGGTTGTGGAAGGCAGAGCAGAGCCATGTGCGTCACTATTGCATAGAGGAGCAGCGGGAGTCGCTTCCGTCCTTGGCTGTGCGGAAGAACACCGCCGGCTGTGCATAGGAACAGCAACAGCAGCTTCCACGACGTCGGTTGTGCGGAAGAATGGCGACGACATCATCTTGTGCCGATTCCTGCGCCCCCGATGTGTGGTAGCTGAAGATTGTACTGACTATCCTCGCATGCGGAGTAGCAGCGGCAGCGATTCACCGATTTATAATGTGGCGGCGGGGGCGTCCAATCTCCTTGTCAGATGAGGCGGCTCCTGCGGCGGAAACATGGCACGGCGGCGGTGGGGGCGTCCAATCTTCTTGTCAGATGAGGCGGCTCCTGCGGCGGAGACATGGAGCGCCGGCGGCGCCGTGCGTGGGGAGGCGTGGGCGGAGGTCAGAAGAGGAGGGCTGGCAAGGGGGCGGCCGGGAGGAGGAAGGATGGTGGGGAGGGATACCAGGGACCCATCGCGCTTCGATTGGCAGACCGTGGCAGAACATTTACCCTGAGCCGTTCGATGGGAGAGGCAGACCACAAAGTAATATTGACTCTCAGATTTTGTTACTTGGATCAGATCGAAGGATCCTGGTTAACCTGTGTACACTTTGTGGGGTGGTTTTAGGGGAACTTAAGTTTGCTCTTTTAATAGTAGTAGAGATAGAGAAGAGATAGGAGTCCTCAAACCACTCAGCACTAGGTCTGCTAAGTCTCTCACGGTTATCACCAAACTAAAACATCGGTTTTTTGTTTCTCTGAATCTCTTGACGTAATCGGAGACCAATTCATCATGCTTCTGTTTAACCGATGTTAGATGTGACAACTTGAGTTCATTGTCGCCGCTATAAAAGTGATCATGAAATTTCTGTTCTAGCTGCGACCAAACTCGAATGAACCCATGTGGTAAAGAAGAAAACCATGAAAATGCAGTACCAGTTAACGATAAAGGAAATAAATGCACTTTCAGTTCATTCAATGAGCCTTCCTCACCCAATTGTGCTAAATATTGACTAACATATTCCCATGTGGTTTTTGTGCCTTCTCCATTAAACTTAACAAAATCTGGGATTTTATATCCCGGAGGGCATTGGATGGCATCAAAGTATTCGGGGTACGGCTTTTGGTAAATCCGATTTCGAGGTAACTCAACTCCAAAATTCTCGCGGAGCATCTTAGCCATCTCCTCTCTAAGATTAGCTAGACCGTCATCCACAGTGGACGATGAAACTTGTGGCAACGGCATAGGAGGAGTAGGACTACTAGCTGTAGGTAGGAACTGTGGCATGTATGCCGAACTATAGTTCGGTAATGGCCGAGTGGTTGCAGCTGTAGGTAGGGTTTGGTTCAGCGTTGCCACCGAACCTAGCATACTCATAATAGGATTAATAGGTGCAGTCACAATCTGATTTGTTTGAGTAGGATAATAAGTCATCGGCATGGGAGGCGCCGATGAGATAGGTAAAGCCAGATTAGGGTTTTGCACACTAGCAGCTACACCATCATTACCACTAGATGATTGAGATATATTTTTCTGAGCATTAGTATTTTCTATGAAAGTTTGATAGACCAGATTGTTACCATCAGCAATATGACTCTCAATCTCAACCCACTGCTCAGGAGAAAAGGTAGTACTCACAGCGGGTTTAACCTGCTCGGCTTGAAGAGGAGGGAACTTGATTTCTTTAATCGGAGTGATGTTGCCTTGGCGATCCTTCTTGATTTTAAAAGGAACTCCTGCAAATCCTTCTCTTCACGTGCCTTCTTGTACTCCTCATAGACTTGGCGATGATCGGCCGATATCTCATCAAGACTGGGCTTAATGATGTTATCGGCGTCTACCTCAGATGGCTTCGGAAGATCGGACATGGTGGATGATGATGATTGATCTTCATCCCCAGCGGAGTTGCCAAAAAGTGTGTTGACACACGAACACGTCACGTGTACCCTCGACGCCGGGGGTGATGCACCGCAGCTCACGTCGAAGGAGACCCGACCGACAGCGCGATACGCAAGACAGTCGACGGGCGCTTTTGCAGACCCGAAAACCCCACACCCACAGGAGAGACTGTGTCAGGGAGTGCGGCGGCTATGGGCTGCCCTAGGTCGATTCGCTCGCCCCTAGAGCCTCGGGATTCGCAGCTCTCAAACACAAAGAACAGCGAAGAACGAGAGAGAAAAACGG